CCGGCAAATTAAACACCCTATGGAAGCGCGGCCCGGCATTGTAAAATCGCAATTATTGTTTCCTCGCAAACGTTCCGAAGCCGGTGGGTTGCGATTTCAATGGTCCCATCCCTGAGCGTCCCGATAAACAGGAGCGAATCCGGCAAAGGGGAGTAATCCCGAGGACAATTACCCAGCCTCGTTGCTCATGGGGTAATCGGGAGTTGTCAAAAACCCCCGACCGTGGAGTAATTGCGCAGCGATCGGTAATTACCCCGCAATGGGAGAACAGGTACCCGAATCCACGAATCGGGACCTTCGCCCGAGGCAACGAAAAACGAAACGCAAAGGTAAGTCCCGAATCCGAGGCTCGATCGGAGTTTTCGAGGAACAATGTCCGGCCGTACCGGAAGTAGCGGGACCTCTCGGTACGCTATTCAATTGCGGACCTTGGAGCATTCCTACGTGTAATCATATAGTGTTTCCGTGCTGACTTTGCGGGATAAATATGCCCACGTTCTCGCCTAAGTCACGACGCGCAACCACGTGGGCACGCAGCACTCTGTTACGAGCTGACGTAAGTACAAGGCGGCGGATATGCCATTGCGCGGCCAATGTACATGGCCAAGCAATTGCGCCGCTTTCGGTACTTCACCCCGAAAGTCCATTCCCACGGGTCGATCGACCATCGCCTGGGAACCTTTCGAGAAAACAGACTGACCGAAACCTAACCTCGAAAAACAGTATCGCCATACAAGAACATCATTTTATACATGTGATAAATTGATTAAAAAAAAAACGAAAATCGATGTACACCCGCCGCGCACGAGTTACAGCTGAAACTTCCGCCTGTGAGTACGTAGGAAAGGAAGTGGTATCATGATCGAGTGGATAAAAAGTGAGTTTAGCCCGTGTCCGGCGCCACCCGGTGGCGTTTCACCTTTTCGTTTCATTTCAAATCCAAGCAGCGAACTCGCACCACCGTGGCTAGAGGAGCTTCCCCGGGTACATAAGAAATATTTAAAAGCACGGTGTAATTCTTCTCCCCATCAATTTCCCCGGGGAAATATTCACCCCGAAAGTCGAACGAATCGCCATCGACGCCTCGTAGGTACACCATGGGACGCCATAGTGATTTACACTCACCTACGACCACGATGGGCGTGAACGACTCGAAGCGACGTACTTACGTCCGAGGTTAATATACGACTAGGTGCCAGGTGAGTCGTCGGGGCAAAATTCCGCGGCCATTCCGCGTGCGAACTGCGTAATCGCGCCTACGACGCGCTGAGAACGTTTGCCTACACGTAATGTTTCGAGGTCCACACGTGGTCGACCAAGGACGGCGAGTAAAGACACATCATCGTCAAAGGGCGTGCCAGATCACCCGAGAAATATTGCGAGGGAATTTTCAAGATCCTAGACGTATTAGAAAATATTCTACCGACGACGCCTCGAGCCTGGAAAAAATGCGGGAAAATTGAAAATTGAAAATCGACGCGATTTATCGCCTCGGTCCAGCTTGGACGCTGGAGGTCCTCCTCGCCTTTGTACGTTGGCAAATAAGAGGGCCGAATTACGGGTTTGCACCCGCGTGTGTACACGCGGGGGTAATAAAATGCAAACGCCCAAGGGAAACGCAACGAATGCGTCCGTTCGATGGCCGCATGCGTTCCTGGCTGTGTCGTAACCTCCGGGCTTTTTTAAACCGCAATTCAAACCGTGTCGAGCCCCGCGCTCGTCGAGTTTGTTCAAGAAAACCGCATCGTTTAACTTCCTTGCGAGAGCCTGCATTGGTATACGCACTGCATTGTCAGGGCACCTTGTCGATGCAGTTCCGATGCAGTTCCGATGCAACGCCGATGCAGTGCGGTGAAAGAGAGACCGCTTATCTATCAGAAGGCGGATCGAAAAACCTGCATAAGGCACACCGTGCGATTTTCGTCAATTTCATAAACGTCCATGATGCACCCATTGATTATCCGAGACAATGAGGAGTAAAAGTCGGAAAATAGAAATAAGTCGCGAGTGATAACGCATAAACCCTTGCGACATTCGTACGGCACTCGACGTTGTTTGGATTTCTCGTTTATCGGAAAATTCCGGTCAACGTTTCCCCACGCTCGTCGCAAACGGCGGAACAAAGTCGAGGAAAATCAGATTTCCATCCGATTATCGGGGAAACCACCGGTCGATGCCGGAATATTAATCCCACGTACGAGGAGCCCGGGGCACTCGGCAGGACTCAAGGAAAACTTGTTAAAAAGGTACGATGTCTCGACTCCAATTCTTGGGGGATGCGAGCACGATATCGGGAAACTTCGCACCCGGGCACTGATTACGGATTCGCGTCAGGACCCGGAAAAAAAAAAGTTCCTCCGAAGACACCGAGGAGACAGGGATAACGCGGAGGAAGGAAGATTAGCGGCAAAACGAAGGACGAGGGTCGCCTCTCCGACTCTCCCCAAATATCATTTCTTCCGGGGCTGGCAGATCCTACTCCCCGTATAAATAGTAACGATGCCCAACCCCTAACGCGATAATAAGAAAATAATTAAAAGAAAAAAAAAAAAAGAGCACCAACCCACCTACATCCTGTTACCATGGAACAATTTCTACCGTAGCGCAGCATTGGTACAATAAAATTCCCCCCGTTTCTACCGTCGAATAAATTTAATTTCTACGTTTAATAAAATAATAACGAACGGTATCCGAAGTTCCCTCGCGAATCATGACATTTCAGCCTAGTCGCGAATCGTCGATTTACATTTCCGGAAATCGGAGCGGCGCAAGCGCTGCCAGGGCGCGCCATGGAGGGTCCTCTTCATTCGTATCGTTGAATATAAAAATAAATATCAAGCTAAATATTAAAATTCTTTTCCTCCCGCAAGTCATGGAACCGACGATTTTCCATCCGGGGAAGACGCACTGCAAGGTAAACGATCGTAACGCATCGCCGATCGCGATCACTCGAGGGGCTAACATCCAAATGGAGATGGGAGAGGTCTTGAACTTACCCGCGTAGTAATTGAAATAATTCCACGCGCATTCCGGGACCAAGTACGCGCCGCGTAATCCACCGTAGAATTTTCCACGGGGCTTAATTGCCGTCGCGGTTAAAGTGGCCCCTCGTTACTCCGAGGGTAACGCCGACGCGTATCGCAGGAATTAATACGCCCGAAAGGCGCGACTCCTTTTCGCCTACGTAATTGGCCCGTGTACCGAGAGTTTGCGTCAGGGCACGCGAGTGCGTTTTTCCGGGCCGGGCAGGTTAAAAAAGATTAAAGAAAATCCTCCCGCGGAAAGGGAAGAAAATTCCCCGACTGCAACCCCTAGGCCCTTAAAACCCTCCCCCTCGCAACCCTGCAAGCAGAGGCAAAAGTGAAAAACAATCCAGGTCAATTTATTGCCGATTTCATAACATATACTTTATAAATAATATATAAATAACGAGGAGGGAAATTATTTCAGCGACTCCGGTCCGCGGAAATGAGCGAGAGCCAGGTGCAACGAGAGTTTCACCGCGTCGATCGGTCGTTGCCGTGTTTTCGCCTAGCTCTGTTGAGGTACGCCAATTTACAGGGGTATAGCATAATGCATGATTTAATTATGTGGAATTAAGTACGCGGTACACGGTCCTCGGTGAACACGGCGTAGCATGTAACACCTCGTGTCGCAGTATTAACCGAAAACACCGACGCGTTGTTCGATGCTCCGTAAAAATTCAATTGTCTGAAACGACGGGCAGGCATCGCAGGAACATATTTATGTATCGTTTCGTTATGTAAAATAATAGCAATAAACCGTGTTAAGAGCTGAATCCGGCCGCGTGAATATCTTCCCGTACTTCGGTCTAATTTTTAACTCCGGTTCTCGCTGAAACGCGGGGAATAAATTATTCTACGTCGATCCCGATATATACCTGCGCAGCCTAAATCCCTTCATTAATCTTTCAATAATCAATGCGTGCCGTTTCCGTGATACTCCGGTCCTTCGTTAAGCCGAATCCCTATACAGCCAGCGGCGCTTTCGCGGGCTTTGACGGGCGGAAAAGAGCCTCCCATTGTAATCAACGATGCTTTGTTCTTCCCAGCAACAAATATGGATCCCCAAAAAGGAGGCCTCAATGAGAGCACAGGCTAATCCAGGGTCTTCATAAAGGAGCCTGGTCCTCCGATTGAATGAAAGCGGTTCCTCGGTGATGAAAAATGGACATCTCCAGTTTTTCCACAGACGTTGACATTTTTCCACAAATTGCCTCCTCGGCCTCCGATGCGACTGGCTCCAAAGAGACAGCGAGTGATCGGATTAGAATTTCAAGTTACACCGAGCGGTGCAGCAAAACTCTCTAATTAGTACACCGGAGTTGCTCTGAGTTAACCCGAATTTAAGTCAGGAGGACCAGCCTGGACGTACCATTGTTAGAAACCTCGCATCTCCAGCTCCATAATTGGCAGAAAGGAGCTTTCAGAAGCGACCAGGGATGCTTCCTGCTGGCCTCCAATCGAAGTGCCTCACAAAAGCAAACCCTGCCCCTTCCGCGGGAATCCAGGCCAAGTCTGGATCTCCTTGAGGACACTGCGCATTTTGATTGGCAGGAAGAAGCTCCCCAGAAGTGGGCGATGTTACTTCGTGAGTCGAAAAACTAAGGAAAAAAAAAAAAATGGCTCCTGGACCCAGAACCTAGTCCCTTACAAGAAGGGAATTTTAACGCAACTTGCCCGAACGTTCTCGTTAGTATATTATTTAATTTCAATTTATCCCGTGAAAGGTGAATTACCGGCTGTAATTAATCCTGACTTGGAGTTGACATAAAAATCGCCGCTAATCATTAATCCTTGATATTAATCTCTTTTTACGGTTAATTATTATATATTAAAATAATTTACCCTTACATTTTTAAGGCTTATCGCCCCAATTAGGGTTGAATTTTACGTCGTTTTAGATTTCCCGAGTTCTCGAGGACTCCGTGCGGAAAAGCTTCTAGACGAAGGGGTTAGAAGAGGTGGATAAAATCTCACCCAGATTGTCGGCCCGCGTAGCCTGGAGCGCCAGCAGAAGCGCCGCGACGACCAGCAGCATGACGGAGGACTTCGCGGCCCGCGAGGGACCTTCCGGCGGAAGAGTCGCGATGCCTTCGCGCCGTCCCCGGGCGACTAGACGCCGCCGGCGGAGCGCCGCTCCTCCCTGCTCACTTCCGGCAACATGCCGGCCGCCTCGTCGGAGGGACACTGCCGACTCCGGACCGATCGCCGATCGCGGCCGCCGATCCAGGCGGCGCCGCCCTGCGCATGCGCGCTCCTCGAACCGGAGCCCGCCGCGCGCCTCGGCCTCCCGAAAAGTTAGAAAACCGAAGGAAAAACCGGGAAAGTTCAATTTCCGGGGTTACCTCGGATCGTTTTCCTCGCACTTTCGGAAAGAATGATCATGACAGGGTCCAAGCCACGGCACCGAGTCCCTGGGTTTCAGGAACACCCTTTAGATGGCGCGGGTCGCGTCACGTCATTTCGACCTCCTGGAAGAAGGAAATTTCTGGGATAACGGGACGAAGAGGAGAACAAGGAGAAAATCCCTGGTTAAGGAGGCGCCATTTTTTAACAGACGGGTCACCGAGACGTTTCGGGTCGCGCACTTCGCAGAAATGGCGACCTCGAGGGAGGTCGGCCGCGACCTATCACCGCGCTCGACCCGGCATGCTATGCTTCGGGGTCGCACTTCCGATCTTCGGGCACTTTTCTTTCGGGTGGTCTCGGCACTTCCGATCTCTCCCGAACCGAGCGATGCGCGCACGCGCGATCGCGCGACCGTGAACTCCCGACGCGACACGTGCCCTCCCCGCGACTCGGCCACGTACGTACGACCGGACGGTTGGCGCGCTACTGAAGACGAATCCGAGAACTGCCGGCGGCGCGTGACGTCACGCGGCGCTCGCGTCCGCACCCACCCCGCGCGCTCGACCAATCGCGAGCGACCTGGCCCGAGACCGCGCCGTCGAGGAACGCCGGAGCTCCTGGACGGACCCTGATCCTGACCTGTCCTGACCTGCTCCGACCTCCCGACGAGCGTCTTCTCCAGAGAATCCCCGATACATCCGGATTGACCTTGCCAATCAAGAATTCAAATTAAGAGACATCGACAAGTGACTCGGAAAATAGTCACTTCTAATTCGCTCATGAGTTTAAGACCGTAAATTAAAACATTAGAATTCTTATAAATTACTTTGATATTTGTTTCGCCCGAAAAATGTTTAATCTCCGATGTTAATTGTGTACAGGGAATTTTTGTATCGTTCACGTGCGGTGAATCTCGACGATTAAATGTTTCGTTGCTAATTATTTTTTACTTTTATTTATTAAGTACGTGTAAATATTTTTTAGACTGTTTTTGCAATGTCTGGGGTATTTATTGGAGTGCGCGTGTTTATGTCTCGGTGTTTTATTATTTATTTGATAGTTTTATATATTTATTTATTTCACTCGATTTGATTGTTCTAACTCCGGGAAAGTTGGTCCGATCGGCGCGTGCGCGACCTTCGGTGGACGCGCAGCCTACAATAGGCAAGAGAACCTTAACCTAGGTCAGGACTTCGCGCCTTGGGGTTAACGCGCGTCCATCCCCATCAGAATGCGAGGAACGACCACTTCACCCTCGATTGCAGGGGTCCGAACGCATTTCATCTTTGCCTGTTGCCCCTTATCACATACGAGCCGCAATCGACTCCGCCATCACCGAAATGTTCCTCCAAAATACAATTTATTGCCGGCTAATAAAAAAAATATATATACATTTGATAGTATAAAATACTACACTGAGAAAAAAAAATGCATCTAACCAAAGAAATATTTCTTTGGATAATATCAATGACATATTTTTTTTTCTCAGGTAATACAGTATCTAGAGAGAAATTAACATATCTACCCAGTCGACTGATAAAAAATTTCTGAAGTCCCCCGACGAATCAATTATTAAGTTCCTTCGACCTCGCTTCTCTCTCCTACCACTTGTGAATAGGAATAGAGTTACAGAAAAATGTTGGAAAATTTGTAAAAATATTTATGGTAGTACTTTAGAGGGGAGCGTTTAATGGGTACTCACACCCGTCCCTGGACCAAACGACCGACACGTTTACTTTACATGGCGAGCCAAGGAGCTGGGACGTCGGCGGTTAAGTAACGACACGAGCTGTCTGGCTGTGAAAAAATTCGTGGCTCGTTACAGGAAGCGGCAAAAAAAATGAAAAACAAGGTAATAATAAATAAGTGACTCGCGATTATGTTGTCGACGGCTTTTGGTGGATTTTTCCTGCCGGCGAGTTGACTCATCGGCAGGAAGCCGGCGCGTTTCTCCAGGGCATCACTTATTCATGAATCGGCCGAGCGACGCACAGTCGAGGCATTATATCTGCGCCGAGGCGCGGAAATTGTCGGGCATACAAGGGAAGGTCTTCCCTGGCGAGAAACCTGCCCGATCCCTGTGCGAAATAATTCCCCCGGGTCGGAAGGTCGAATCGAATCAGTTTATAATTACGCAGTCCGCCCCGCGGCATAAGGGGAGGATTAAACCGTTTTCCCGAGGCCCAGGAGTACTCTCGTTAGGATTCTTCAAGGAGGAGGGACCTCGCGAAAACTATGCCAAAGTGGAAAGAAGAGATAGATATTTCTTCCGTCCGCGAGACATTCACGAATGCCTGCCAGCGCTTCATTCTCGAGGTTCAATGGCCCGAAAGGGGATGCACCAAATTCTACCCTGAATCTCTCCCAATGAGCGCTTCAGATTTTCTTTCCATTCCTTTTCTTTCCTTACCCACGTGTACAGTGGACCGAGCCAATGTGTGGATTTTAACGAGGGTCGGGAATTTCAAGACACATTCCCAGGGATTTTTATGAAAGAGTTAGTGGTATTTTTATTATATCCTTTTGAATTACGCGGTCGGGACACTTGGTGCAATCCAAGATGCCGGGGCATTTCTTGGGGCGAGCTTTTTCATGGCGAAGCATACGACCGCGCGACATACGCACCTCGATTCCCTCAATTGTCCCGAAACCCGGAATCAATGGGCGGGAAACGTCGAACAGAGGGGAGAGCCGATATCGAAGTAATTCGATAAACCCAGAAAGCTGGACCATGCGTCGATACTAATCGAAATAAAGAGAAAAAGAACCCGCGGATCCAATGTTCCGGTTAAATTCGACATGCTCGTTCGTCGAATCGGCTTCCTCCATATGGCGTGTCGTTTAGCGCGATTGGAGGGATCGATTTTCGACTATCGGCCCGCGCGTATCGATACCCAATCGGCTCTGACGTTTCGGAATTTCTTAAATTTCGCGCGATATTTAATAATCTCATGGGAAAGGATTCTTGATTAGGTCACGGTTTCGGCTTCCAGAGAGAGCATAATTGTCAAGCGTCCCTTTCGTAGCCTGAATTAACCCTTTTACCGCTCATCCAGGACGGAAACGTAATAACGTACCTCGGAGAGTGTGCGCATATACAAGGAGCTCGTAGGTAAAACGCTTTCGCAACGACTGAAAAAAGCATTACTCAAAATATGTTTCCGGGCCCCGAGCTTACTCTCTTTCCTGAAATGAACACTGAAATGGGAAACGCTTTGCAGTAACCTCCCGGGTACTGCTACTTTTCTCCCGACAAGTAGCGCAATAAGCAGACGTATCAAGTCGAGTAAAAACTTCGTGAAGCGGGGAAAACTCAATTAAATCGAAACTCGATGCCGAGTGTCAAGTTTTTCCGGCCGGTATTCCTCGCCGTTGCGGCGCTTCCAAAGTAAGAAAATAAATGTGGAATAAATTCCAAAATAAACTAATCCATTTCTTCCGGGGATTTTACGGTGCTCTTAAGAGGTGGAAATTTCTATCCTAGCTTCTCAAGGATCGAACAAGCAGCGATAAAACGTTAAACACTCCTTTTCGATCACTTTTTAGCTCCTGCCGTAGTGCTGCAAAGGGGAAGGCCATGCGCTCCGAAATCTCAACGAGGAGAGCAAGAACTTAAGAATACTCGAAGAGTCGCCCAGTTATCGATACATGGATTGAATTTTATTTATACGACGTGCACGATTCGCAAGCCGTAAATGGAGCTCCGAAGGCAGTCGAATGTTCCCGGAAAGGAGTTCTTAAGCCCAGGAGGGATCCCCGAGATTGTCGACCCCATCTTCAGGGAACACTCGGATCGGGGCTTTCGCCCGGACAAATTGTCCCGTAATAATCGTAATCGTTTTATCGACTGGCTACCAAGTATCGCGAAACACGTTATCCCCTCGTTTACCGGAATTGTCACTCCAAGGGGTCACCAGCGATCAGACCTTCGCGGGGTGTAAGCCCCGTTAAAAGCCCGTTAATCACCGGCGCTTTCGTTTCAGAAGATCCGCTCTTAAAGTCGGGACGAACAAACTTTCCCGACTGCTGGGGAAATTTTGACCGCCTTCAAGATCCCCTTTCAAGGAGGCGAGGAATTCAAGGACTCTCCGTTCGGAGAACATTTTTGAGAGCTGAAATGGTTTTACGTTTCGTTTTGAAAAGGCCCGTTTTTTTCACGTTTTAAATCACAAGGTCGTTGAAAGGGAGTTAATAATTAACAGCCGACGAGTACGGTGGACAAGCTTTAATCAGAAATGACGGAAATTTAATTCCCAGGGAGAACCTAACACTTGCCACGTTTGCACTTGCGCACGCAAAGAGGAATTCCTACAAATGTCTTCCTCCTTTCTGCCGTAATAAAATTATGAGAAATGTCATTGCGAAGTTTCCGCCCTCGTTGGGGGCAAAAATGAGGCTCTTTTCAAGCTCGCGTATTAAAGTTCCTCAACAAGTTTAGCCGTATCCCCATAAAAGGCATCCTCGACCAGGAGGAGCACACGCTGCATTGTTTCACTCACCTCGGTTGGCCCTTTTGTTTTATTACACTTATCCAGAGTCGGTCTGGACGGAATAAGACTCTTAAGAATCCTTCAAAGGCGCCCTCGAAGTGACCACTGTGATGCGAGTTTCCCGGAGACTCGGAAAAGCCCTTTGCAGCATCCTTGCCGGTCCAGGAATCTCGAACGTCCGAGGGCCAGTTTGAATCTCTGGGCGCGGATGATGGCTCGGGGATGTAAATCTTCCGGTTTCCGGAACTTTTCACCCCGCGTTCCTGGAGTTTGCCTCGGATTGTTGCAGCGGACCTGGCGATAAATCAGCGCCACTTTTCTTTCGCTAAGAGTTACCTTTGACCCGCGGCTTTGTCCTGGCACGCTCCATTCAAGCTGGACCGAGTCCAGTTTGGGAACTGAAAAGTCGGAGGCGAGAGTACCAACTACTCCGTTTAGTCCTCCATTTTAGGGCCAAATCCTCCCTATTCCGTAATAACCTAGGAATCCAAGTACCTCCATTCCCTGATTGCCTCCCCCCCAATGTATCAGCCCTTAAAATTAATTTAACCTACGAAGATGTCAGTGATCCGTGGATTTTTTTTCCCGGATGACAACTTCAGGTCTCGGGGGGCGCAACATGCCGCCGAGGGTTAATTTTGACTGCGAGCCACCTTCCAGGGAGTAAAATCGAACCGATGGTAATTACATCCCGGCAAGGGAGTGCCCTGTTCTCGATAACTAATCTACGACGGTGCTCCGGAGCACTTCCTCCCACAACACGAAGACATTACGAGCAATGAACGGAAAACACCCCGGCTACACCTGCGGGCAACATCGAAGCCATTAGTGCCAGAAATTACGGCAAACCGTCCCACAAAGGAGTTCTCCTGGCTCCCTTGCGAACACTTAACGAGGCATTTCGACGGATCGATTACCTCGGTTATGACGATCCTCA